ATTCTTTAAACTTCCCAATTTTTTTCTTAACAAGCTCAGAATTAATGCATTTATCCTGTTTGATCTAGTTTCCATTTATCAACTGTTGAAGATGTGGAATACTGCTTAAATCTTCGTTAGTAAAAACTGAAGAAGAAGCAGAATTTAACCTAGCCATCTTATAACCATCAGATAAAAGTTTTCCTTTATCATCCTTCAAGAGTTCCATCCCCCCATCCTTGCATTTTATTTACCTTTAATGTGTTTAAAGAAATCCTTACTATTAATTTTTACATTTTCAGCCAACCTTTTCTTATACATCCTTTTTTGCCAATTTTATTTATCTTCTGTCATACCAGTCAATTTAAATTTCTTAAATTTATTATGCTTTTCTTTAATTGATCTCTGAAAATTTTTGCAAGCCAATCCGGTTTTTTATTTGCAACTACCCATTTCTTTCTATAAGGAGTATGTTTACCTGGAATACTTAAAAATTTTCCACATCTGATCAATGTCTCCAAATAACTCAGCTGCCCAATTTACAAGAGATAATTCTTGTCACATCCCTTCAAAATTTGTTTTTTTGAAATTTGTAACCAAAATATCATTATTCCTTATCTCCAAATGCAGCAAAACATGGAACGTAATAGAGCAATGATAACTTGCACCCAGATATTCCGCAATTTCCTGTTTGAGATTATTCCAACAATCTAAGTGATCAAAATATTACTATTATGTTTGTTTGTTGTTAAGCACAAAGCTACATAATGAACTCTCTGTGGTCTGCCCAATTTTTGCCTTATAAGTTGTCATTTTTTAATTCAATTTTTTCAACTTTGTTGATTTGAAGAGGAGGATTGTAATTTGAGGGTATCAGGTTTGATTTTTACTGCAACCAAACTTGCTCACCCTGTTTTTGTTGTAGCAAAGCCTCTAAGACTATCTGCCATTATCACTAATTTTGAACTGTTGATTAGAGGACAGACAACAGTTTGGCAGAATCCACAACTAACTCTTTTTTTTTATTAATTTTTTTTTGCTTGCAAGTACCATGGTTTTAGAAACACTGTACTAATTGATTAACCTTATACATATGGGCAGAGTTAATGTGACTGACGTTGAAACTGCCATGTAATCATGAAACTACATACTAGAACTCTGAATATACTAAGTTTATTTTCACAAAATTTAGTAAGCTTTTAGTAACCATTACAACCGTTGGTTTTGTAATAGAATAATTTTTACTAAAGATTTTTCTGTTAATTTATGAAGGTTTCCTTGAGTTAGTATGAGTGGAAAATGATTTTCATGCTTAGAAAAAAAATACTTCTTTTCATCTTGCAGTTTCATATTTGATTTGCATAACCTTTAGAACCTCCTAAATGAATATCAAAAGTTTTTAGTTTTTTGTGGTTAAACTTAATATTCTATCTCTTATTTTCTTTACCCTAACATTAATTGTAACAAAATCATCCTCAGCAGAAGTTCAAAAATATGACATTCATTTTGTTAATAGTGATTGAAGATTTTAATAGACAATTACAATTAGTTATCCTAAACACCTTCAGGCTCATAAAGGTTGAACTTCTACTTTCATTTAATTTTATTGTTATTTGAACCATGTGTAATTAGATTAACAAAGCAATAAATCACCCAGCAAAAGCTTAGGGTAAACAAGCAATTGAGTTATATCACGTTAAAACAGCCCATGTAAGTTCTTCATAGAGAAATTCTTTCTTTATTTTTTCTCATTTAAATTTTTTCATCTAACCTAATAAGTTTTAAATTTTTATATTTTAATTACTTTTATTAAAAGATATAAATAAAATCCAAGAAATTTAGCATTCCCTTTAACCTTAAGGTCTTTTGCACTCGTGTATGTGGTTTAGTAAGCCTGTTTTTTCACACTGAGTTGGTTGTCCAAAAATAATTAATGTAGCTTTGAAATATAAATTCCATAACACAAAAATATATTAGATACTAGAATAGAATGTCCCAAAACTACTATAATTTACCTGGCTCTCTAAATAACCTAAAAATAGACTTAAAAATGTAATTACTACTTGGAGCAAAGTCTGTAATCTATTGTTACGACAGCGGAAGTCACATGATGCTGGTAACACGTAATGAGTATCTCGAACGTTCCTGAAGGCTTGGGTGTTTGCCAGATGCCCTATATTTTATATATATAAGACCAGCAAGAAGTGACGACATAAATAATTGAATAGCAGACAGGGAGATAGAGACAGATAATCAAGTTAAGCCATAAGTAAAGTGTATAAATCATTGTGAATTATAGCATGTGTTTAAGTTAAAGTGACTGTGGAAATTAAGTGTATTGCAAAGTTGTATTGAGAAAGAATAAACTAGTTTTATTTAAGAAAGGACTTGTATCGCTGAAGTTCTTCGGAAAGAATTCCTACGGAAAATTATCAAACGAGCAGAGACATAACATTATATACGTCAAGCTTGCATAGTAAAATATTGGATTTTAATGCTTAAACAAAATAGGTAACTGTATGTTTTTTGTAGTTCAGAATTTGCTTTCTCTATTGGTAATAAACATCCAATAACAATGTCAAAAAGAGAAAATTATAGAGATTTCTTAAAAAACAAAGGATATGGAAGGGGCATGTCAATGTTGTTTGAACAGATATATATCTCAGTAAAGAAATTTTATATTTTGGCTGAGGAATACCAATAGTATGTGTTTGTGAAAGACATTTTAAAGCCAGTCTGCCAACTTTAGAAAGTTAAGGCATTCTACCATTATGGTTTTTGAATAATTTTATTGTTAATATTATTATCTGTAGTTATTTTAGTTCCATAACATAAGTTTCATTAGATTGGTTAATACTCATAATCAAGTTAAGGTTGGCAGTTAGTCTTAGTTGTATCTATACCATTCACTTAGGCTTACCATGGTCTTTGTTATATTAGGATTACCTGTAATTCATCTTACTGGTATATCAATCATTTGTTTAACTATATTGTTTTTTCTTTCATACCTCATGTCTCACACATATGTTATTGTTACTAGTCACTTCTTTAATTTAACACAATCATGTCTATTTAATTTTTATTATTTCTCTCTTATTTTTTTTTCTATTCACTTGGTTTGTGTGGAACCTTTGAGCCAGGGTCCACACAAACTTCTCTCAATATTGTACCTACTTATTGTTTGGTTAAGTTTTTATTTAGTACGTAGTGATATCTTTTGTTCTGTGTTGTTCAATTAGGTTTCACAAGTGATTTCATTTTTGGTTTACCTATAGATCTACTTCCAGGTTAATCAATCATTAGGTTAAATATCTTGTTCAATTAGGCTTAATAAGTGTCTATTACTTTTGGTTTATTCGTGATTCTATTTACGGGTTAATCGATAATTAGGTTAAAAGTCTTTTTTCCAACACATAACATTACATACATATGTTTATTTCATACACAATTTCATAACACTAACACTATAACGAATATTTAATTTTCATCTTTATTTATAGTTTATACTTACCATTGATTTTGTTTAATTTATAATTTATACTTCTTACCTTCAATTTCGCTTGTAAGGACCTGTGGGGCCGCGATCCACCCTACCTGCTCCCAATATTACTCGCCTTCCTCCTATAATGGCTGAACCCATTTTCAGACAACCTAGTTTTTTTTAGCTTAGTTTTACCCTATCAACACTCCTACAGATCATATATACCTTCCATTTCCTTTCTTTGATGATCCACTTATATTTAGGGATTTTCATGGGATACCTTATCCTTCCCTCCATATTGAGGTGTTTGTCATCTTCATTTCATTCCCTCCACATGTGGCTTCTTTGCTTTTAGGATCCTCTAGGGTGGGACACATCTGTTTTTTTTTACCATCCACTGCTAATAGGTTCTTACAGTTGGTTCTGTTTCTCCACTGGTTCATTTTTTATTCGTCTTGTTTGCTCGATGTTGATTGGGGTTCTGGATTGTTCATTCCCACCTTAATCATTTCTAGGGTCTTCCCTGTTTTAATATGTCATCTTTGATAACATTTGGGTAGGCTGTTTCTGCAGGACAGAGAATGCCCACAGTAAACATTCTTATCTTCAATTTTTTCACTACGTGATTAGGCACCAGTTTTATGCCTTGACCTTTGGACTTGTTTTGGTTCCATATGTCTTTTGTGGAGTGGTCTGCATTTTACTTGACATCCACATTTGGGGTATTTTACCAATGCCATTCATTGGATGTCTGGATTTGGTTAGCTTCTTTCAAACGTGGGTAGTCTTAACATACTTCTTCCATAGTTGGATTTTCTAGTGAAATAAGTTTTCCTGTTCCATACCTCACATTATAGTCTCTTTGGGGTGTGTATTTTTAAATATCCCCCTACATCAAGACCATCCATTCTCCTCCTTCAATGATGTTTTCTGTTATCTGAGACTTTACTCTGGATTTTTCTCTTAATTTTGATCTTTCTCTCTTCGTCTATATGCATTGATAGTTCAACATATCCACGACATCAGGTTTACCACTTCCTCTCTCTCTTCTGGATTGTGTCTCTTTTCTGATGCTCATCTCCATAGGTGAGGGGTGTGGATCTACCAGCGAGAGGCTTCAGGATAATGGTCTTCAGGTGAAAGGTCTTATCTCCTTCACACCTGGACACTTCGACCAGTCCAAGGTACTCTAGTTCACACTCTTCTTCTTGTCTGGTTTGACTGATCCTGTTTCATTTTGTCCTTTTTTGGTGGTGGTGGCTTATATCACTAGCTAAGGGGACACTATTTCTTGTTCCCTTTGAGGTAAACAGTGAATTTCCCTTTTTTTCCCTCCCCATACTCCACCTATTTGTCTGTGATTTTTCCCCTTCTCCTTTACCCATATGGTTTGGATTGTGATTCAATTGGCATTTTTATTCCTTGTCTTCTTCTTTCCCTCATCACTTCCTGGTATCTTAACTTCGATCATGCACCTTTCTTTTTCCCTGCATGCCTACCCTGCTGTCCGTTGGAGGTACTTTGTATGTTGAGCACTGGGTCTACATCTCGTACATTCATCTCCCATTCTCTACTTTGGGTAGCTGTTTCTTCCTTGTTGGGGTACTGCCATCCACCTATTGCCATCTTTCACTCTTTCATGAGACTTTGACTGGTCAAGTTACCCTTTTTGAGGGGATGCCCCTCATTTTCTTTCTGTATCCTGCTCTGTGGTGAGTGATGCCTGACCAGGTATTCTTTAACTGTTCCAATCCGCACTGTAAACCACATCAACTTACATCCGCTTATTTGTACCCACTTTCATATTTTTGGAATTGAGTTTCATAAATATTGGATGGTTTTGGATCCCTATCCTGCCACAGTTCTCTCCCATTAGAGGTGCTGCTCTGTTTTTCTGCTCATATGTGTAACATCTTTCCAAGATGGGCAATAAGTATACCTGGTTTAGAAGTGATGCAGTCTCCCACATCAGATCTTCGATTCTTAAGATCTCCTCTTGGAGAGCATCCATGAAAAGCTGTCAAAGGATGTACTGTATTGGAAGTTATAATTTTCCTATACTGAAAATATATTTCCGATAGGTACTTACCTCCTGCCACACTTCCCACTCTTCCTCCCCACTGAAAACTGATGCTTCCATTTTCTGCAAAAACTCGAAGTAATAGTTCAGTAGAATTGAATATAGGGAGTCACATGCATCAAGGGAGTGTCATACTGTTATCAGTGGATGGTTGTTGCATGAGTGATGCATTGGAATCAGTCAGTTCCAATTGAATGGGAGATTAAAGGCTTGTGGCATGTGTAAAAAATGTTGCATATAGAGGGCAGCACTAAACAAGAATAGCTATGTGAGAGGAAGTAAGTATCTTTCGGAAATACATTTTCAATATATCAAAATTATACCTTTTCTGATGTTAGAAAAACATGTAGGTTCAAGAAGTCTTGATAGAAATGACAGCTTTAGAAATGTGAATCCCAGTTTGCCCCTGAAGAAGAAATGTCCTTTTGAAAGTGCTCGGGTTATAGGGTTTTTATTCATTTATATCAAAATTATAATTTTAATACTAACAATCTTGACGTCATTATGCATTTCCTCATTGACATCTGTCTAATCATGTAGCCTTTGACAATTGCCAATTAGAAACTTTCTACCTTGAAACCTTGATTGTAGCCCATCTAGTTTGGACTTCTTGACATCAATTTTTATTCTTGATTTCCATGTATATATTAAACATTTTATAGTGTAAAATAATTTATTGTTATTGTGAAAGTTGCTATAAAAAACTTGAAGTTTTACTATGCTCAAATGTGATTCATAATGTATTTGAAGGCAACTTCTGAACGATTTAAGACAACTATAATTTATACAGTCATTCCTGTAGTAAGGTTTTCTGATAAAGATTTAAACATTTATTGCATATATCAACAAAATATTTCATGTAGACATGCTACAGGTTCCAGTAGTGAAAGATATTACTGAAATATTTAAAGAGCTGTATAATATAAAACTCATGATGCATGTAATGATTTTCAAAACTATATTATGGTGAGTATTGGGAATTTTGCAGTGGATATAAGAAGAATTTTAAAGTAAGTCTTTCATAAAAACAATATATTTGATTTAGGAGCTTGAACAAGAAAAATACAGCTTGCAGTTAAAACTTGATGCTAAATGTGAAACTGAAAAAACTCAAGCATCTGAAATTGAGACCTTAAAAGAGAGTCTTGAAACTATAACTACAAAATGTCAGCAACTATCTAAAAAAGAGCATGAACAAATGAAGAAAATTAATGATCTTATGAAGCAGGTAAGGTTTGATTTACAATGTATCTTTTATTAACATAATTTTCCTCCAGAATATTAATATGTTTATAAGTTCTTTTTGAATTATCCATAGCCTATTTCTTTTGGGGATTTTTTAGGAAGAATATTTTTCCTTTGAAATTTGAAGAAGTGATTTGAAATTGATAAGAATAAACTATTTTATTTAAATTTAAATTGCAAGGATAAAGTATACTTCCCATATTCATTCTAAAAAATATTAGAGGAATAGCTTTGTGTCAACATAGATTAATTCACATGGGATTTTGCTTGCCTTATGTACAATGTTATGCTACAGTAATATAACCCCAGTAAATAACAAACTGCAACTTGCAGATTTATTTAAGTTTTTTCACTAAATAAAGTTTTATTAATTTTTAATTTGCATCTTTGTCATGGAATGTTATTCAGTTTACGTCAACATGTAGCAGATGTAGAAATAGGAAATTGCAAGAATGTGTTCATTCATTATTATAGTTGTTTAATAACATTGCAATGCAACTTAATAATGTAATAAATCCAAAGCAGTTTCAGCTTTAGTGCAGTAAATCATCAATATCATAGATTTGGTCCACAAAGTGTCTATTTTTGTAGGCCCACTGAAACCTATACTTTCAAGCTTTGATTTTATTAGTGCAGGAAGTTGAGCAATCTCTGTAAACACATCTATCATTTTTTTATACATAACTACAGTATTACATTCATGAAAAATGATCACTTTGTGTATACTCACAAATTGATTATTGAAATCACCTACCTCAAAAAGATAATCAGTTTTGATTTGAAAATATTAGCGCCATGTAAAACCATAGAAACTTTTTTTTAAATGTAGGAAATGATCTCAAACATATTTAAAGAACATGTGATTTTCACATTTAATTAGGATGTTCAGTTACTTATCCTGTTTTAGAATTGAACTAATTGACAAGCCCCTCAAGAGCCAGTGGGGGACATTTGTGTTGAAAAAAAAACTACCCAATCTGGTTTTCTTAATTTGAAATGAAATGTTTTTGACATTTTTATTGGCTAAAAGGAAGGCATTTCCCACACTCTTTTAGCCTTGGGGCTGCAAAAAATGATTTGAAGTGGTGAGGTGACTCTGTCACTGCATCATGAGCTTGATGGCCAAACACAAGAAGCATGGAAGTCTCCAAATGACATGCATAGGTGTTCAGGAACCATGTAGAACCATCTTGGAAGATACTGTGCAGCAAGCTGAGTACAATATTATGCCTGTAGCTGCTTTCAATGTGTTCCTGTCTGCTCATCTTACTGCTGACTATCGTGGTGCTTCGACCTTCCCTACCGAATCACAGGTGAAATCGTTCATATCTCAATTGAAAGCTAAACA